CCTTCTTCCTGGGTTGAAGGACAACCAGAGCTCTCGGCAGGTAAGATTTCCTTTTTGTTTTAGCATGAGGTAAAATGGTCCCAAGAGTTTCAAACAAGTGTTTATCAAACTAAATATGGTTGTTACTATTTGGGTCAGGGACAAGAATGAATAATTATTTCTCTATTGAGAGAAGAAATAGAGATAATTAGCGAACCTTCATCAACCAAGATACCTTCATAGGACTCTTCTGGAAAAAACTAAATGGGGAGCTTTTCATATCTATATTTTGATGAACAATATTGCTAATGGCTATTTTTACTCTGGGCCTCTTGAATTCCACTTTCTAGTGTAGAAAGTGCATTTCTGGGCTATGTGTGGAGCATTGCCTAGGAGTTTGGTTTCCTGGGTTCCTTTCATCTGCTCTCCTGCAATGCAGGGGGAGCCGAGCCTAGTCTCCAGTTTCTGACTGGAGTTAGCACAGGCCAAGAGCTGCTAGCCACTGAGCTGTGAGTAATTTGCTTTTGAGAAGTAAATAGAACCTTGCCTGTAGAGAGCCCAGGGGTGTGGCCAGTAGTTCTTTTCCCAGGCTCCTCCCTCCCCACCCCCCAAATGACCTTAACCTTCTTTCATAGCTGGAGAGCATCCAAGTCTGGCCTAGACAATACTCTGAACCTCATTGGCTCTTTTGCTTTGCAGCCAGTGCCACCCCTAAGTGGCTAAGGCCCTTCCCACTAGGCCTCTCAGCGGGGTCAAGGTTTTCTAACTACGGAAAGGCAAACACCAAAGAAAGAGTGAAAAAATAACCTAGTGTCCATGGCCTTTAAAGGATCAGTGTTTGGGTTCTGCAATTGGGAGGAGGGCAGGGCCTTTGTCCTGGAGTGGATGGGCATCTTCGAGAGAGACAGCAGAAACCCAAAATGTATGCTTTTGGCCACCCCAGGTTTCAGGATGGATGTAAATGTCACCTAGCATTCTTGGAAACTGCCAATTAATGCCTTTTAATCCATAGTGAAAGGAAGTAGCCTAAAGTTCTGGTAAGGTACAGCTGCTTGTCATCAGTCATTAGCACTGCCTACTAACAGCGGGCAATGACAGGTATCAGAGGCAATGTCCCAGAACAAAGCTTCTCCAATATTCAAATAGGACTGGGGTCATGGAAAGTTTAGTGTCTGGAAACTGAGCTAATACAGAGCACTGTTTCTCTGCCCAGCCTGAGGCCAAGGTGATCTCCAGATGTGGCCAGAGGAAGGCACAGAGAAATGAGTTGTCAGGTTGCTTCAGGGAGAGGAATGGTCCAGAGAACTTCCTCCACACTTTAAGCAGGAAAATCACTTCTTTCATTCAGGAGGGTCTAACAGCCCATCCTTCCTGAGCACTTTATGCCACACATATGAAATCCATGAGGTAGATATTATTTCCATGAGGACAAGAACTGTTGAGTAAATCAAACAGGTAAGAGAGGAATTTAGTGGAGGAAAGAGTAGTTAGGAGTTGGTGTGCCCTATGTGGTATTCTTGGTATATCCCATACAGACTTAGTGGAGTGGAAAAAAAGAAGAGAGGAAAAGAGGTAAACCTGAGAAAAATGTAAATAGTATAGAATATTAGAAAAAAACAACAACCTGGGAAGCTAGAGACCGAAATCTAAGTCTCATCTCTGCCACTAGCTGTGTAACCAGGCTAGTCACTTCCCCTGAGTCTTTGTTCCTGCATCCATAAACTATAGGTATCAGGTTAAACAAATTGATTTGTCCACCATATCTTTATTGAGTACATACAATGTGCAAAGAAAGTACTGTTCTAAGTGCTGGTTATACTTTGAACAAGGCCCCCACTCTCACAAAGCTTACTTTCCATAACAGGAAAACAGATGATGAGTAAAATTCATGGACAGGACCATCAGGTGGTGATAAGTACTATGAAGAATACAGAACACATCCTAGCTGGTTTTGCTCAGTGGTTAGAGTGCCAGCCTGCAGACTAAAGGGTTGTGGGTTTGATTCCCAGCAAGAGCACATACCTCGGTTGTGGGCTCTTGGGGTGCATGTGGAAGGCAATTACTGATGTGTGTCTCTCACATCTCTCTCCCTCCCTCTCTCTCTAAAAATCAATGGGAAAAAATATCCCCAGGTGAGGATTAACAAACAAAACAAGAAAACAGAACAGGGTGATGGGCTAGTACAGGGTGGTGACTGTGGCTGGATGTCAGGGAAGGCCTCTGTGAGGAGGTGACATTCAGCTGACATCTGAACGTAGTGGGTTTGCCAAAGGGTAGTCTGGCAGGGAAGGGTTTCAGGCAGGGCAAACGGCATGAGCAGAGCCAGGCAAGTTCAAAAAATAGAAAGGTCACTTCCATCCTAGGATTCTAGAAGCAGTGATGTATTGTATTGTTTAGGTCAGGGGTGTGTATTATGAAGTTGTTTCTTGGTGGTGTAGGATCTCTGCTTCTTCATGGAAGGGGCTGGGTGGTGCAGTCATTCTGGAGCCCTGGGATCCATCTCTGTCTCCCTGGCTCCCACAGCGCCGCTCGCTCAGCTGGTTCAGTGCAGATGCAGGCTCCATTTAGCTGCTGACTCTGAAAGCAGACTAGATAGAGTTGCCTCTTCCACTACATACTCACAGCCTTGGAGGCTGAGAACCCCCTCCCATCCCACCTAGTCTTCTATTCTGACAAGCCAGGGCTTTGAGAGCATGAGATTCCGCTTCCTCGTTTTCCTGTCGGAGCAGGAGCCAGAAAATGAAACAGGAAACAGAGCGGAAGAGGAGGGGGGTGGGTAGCAGAGAAGGAAAAGGAGGAGAAATTGCAGGGAAGTAGAAAATCTGGACAAAGTTCTACCCCTAAAGGGTGACAGATGAGTTTTTAGAACATTCTGACTTGTCACAACAGACTCCTGCCCTTTTTTAAAAAACAACATATTTTTATTTGATTTCAGAGAAGGGCCAGGGAGAGAGAGAGACAGAAACATCAATGATGGGAGAGAATGCTGAAGGGCTGCCTCCTGCACACCCCGTCCTGGGGATAGGGCCTGCAACCTGGACATGTGCCCTGACCGGGAATCAAACCTTGACCATTTGGTTCATAGGTTGACCATCAGCCACTGAGCCACACTGGTCAGGCCAAAGATTTTATTTTTATTTTTTTCACTTCTCTCCTTGCACTTATGAACATCACTTGAATCATTCATAGCCCCAGGGGATCCAGAGAGGTTGCGTGACAGGCCTGGGGTCCCACAGCCACTTCAAAACAGAACTGGGGCTGGGCTGGGTTCCTTGACTTGGGAACCTGTCTTCCACCCAAGACTCTGCGACCTCCAGCTCTTCGCGTCCTTCTCCGTTGGGAGGAGGTGGACACCCTGAAGTGCCCTGACCGAACCCAACTGTGACCTCCTGATTCATAGGTCGATGCTCACCACGGAGCCACCGAGGCCAGGGCAACCACGCTCCTTTTTTTTTTTATATATATAATTTTTTTTTTTTAACCACGCTCCTTTTTACACGTAGATTTTTGAGGGAATTTGGTGTGGGCAGAGGGAAACTTGGAATGCATTTCCTTTCCCCACGTGAATTCACAGAGCAAGGACAGTTCGCTTCTGTTGTCTTTGCAAGCAGCGTGCTGCTTGGAGGCCCACAGGCTTGTAGAGTCCCCAGCTGCCCTCCGGCTTCGCCCATCCACCTCCGGGGCCGAGAACCCGCGTCTGTCGCTGAAGAGCCTGGGGTGGGGCAGAGTCTTCTCAACTCCACTCCACGCCGCCCCCCCCACCCCCGTCCTCTAACCAACAACTAAAACGGGCTTTATGTTTTATCCACCTTCACACAACGAATGCCGAAAGGGTAGTGTAGGTCTCCGGGCCTGAAGTGACCCACAAAGAATCAGAAGAGGCCGGCCTGGGCTAGTAGGCCTGGGACGCAGCCCTCGCCTTTGTTCCGCCCGTGGAGCGGCTGTTGCTGCAGATAAACCCCCGCGGCTCCGAGGGCAGATAACTGAAACCGCAGGGCCTGGGCTCCTGAGAAACGAGGCGGCGACCCGCGGAGAAGGATTTATTATCGCTTCCTTTAAGCGGGGTGCAAAGTTGTTCTAACAGTTTCCGTTACAGGGACCAACCGGCCGCTCCTCCCCAACAGACGGTTGTGTCGAGTTGGCTTTTTTCCTTCTCCTTTTTTTCGGCCCCACTTCCTACGAGGGAAGCGGCTCGAAGGAGGAAGGAGAAGGGCGACCTGGGGGGTTCTCGGAAGCGCCCTTCTCCGTCCTCACTGGCCGCCCGTGGGGCTGAGCTGGCCGGACAGAAGGCCCCCGGGAGCTGGACGAGTTGAAAGTCAAGGGGATCCACACTCTCTTCACACCCAGGACGCAGGGTGCCGCTCAGGCCACAGACACCCCAAGAAGGCGTGTCCTCCTATTCGGAGAACATCTCCTGCGCGCCGGGCCCCGTGCTGAGCTGTCGCCCCAGACAGCAGGGAAAGTGCGGCCCGGGCTTCTGTGAAGAGAGGCCACGGGCAGCGCGACTCCGAAAGCCTTGCGCACACCGGGGACTCTGATGTGTGCGGGATGGAACCGGGGCAAGAACCCCAACTCTGAGACAGCTGCCCGGGGACCAAGTGAAGGCGGGGGAGGGGACCGAGGACAGGGCAGTGCGGGGGGTTGGGGGGAGTCTCCAGGGGTCACCAGGGCGGGAAGGTGCCAGGCGGAGGGCACAGAGCGGAGGGGCTGGGCCGTCCCCGCCCCGCAGGCCCG